ATATATACATACATAGAGACAAGTGAAAGCAAAAATGGGGAAAAGAAATAAATCAGATTTTATAGACACGGTGATCATGTTTGATATCACAAAATCAACAACTGCGGATGCCATTGAGAAGTTCTTGTCATTCATTCGATGGTGTAAATCACATCCTGATTTTCCTGACAACTCAATGTAAATACAAAATGTATGGTATTTTACAAAAGTATAAAAATTTCTGAAAATTATCATTATTTTAGTGTTATTAAGCTGAAACCTGGAGAAGTGTAACTTGTACGTGGCTTGCAACGATTTTGATGCTGACAGCAAAAAAAAAAAAAAAAAAAATGGGCTAATATAGTTTTGTCGGCTTCAACAAAAAAAAGGGAAAAATAAATCAATCTTATAATAAATATAAACTTATTTTGCATCCCTAATTATATATATAAATGAGACCCTGGTTGTGAAAAGTGAAAGAAAAAACCTATTAATTAGATATAATTCATATCTTCAGCTGATACGTCTACAAAATTTATGACTACAGGATCCTCGGTGGGTAAGAGTAGTATTTTAAAATAATCGATACAATTAAAAAAGAAGGTTAAATAAACCTTTGAAGATTTTGAAAATTTCAACAGGCAAATTCAATAAAAGTTTGCGATATTCAAGGTTTATCAACAATATTTGTTTCAGCAATTTTTTCAGGAATCGAATGACAATGTTTTTTCCTGGCAAAGTTTAAAAAATAAATGTGTTATCTAAGCTGTCCAGAAATTTTGCCTTATCATTAATTTTATACCATTTATTTACACTCAGTATACAAAAAATTACCATAACATTTCAGATTTACTTTAAAAACTGTCTACTACGCATTTCAACAGTCATGGGTATTCCTAATGAGAACAGATGCAAAAACACGAGAATATATGCCAGATGATTTGGCAGATGATGCATGAACCCATACTATTTCAATGGTGTAAATATAAGAAAACTTAAACGAAAGGAACATTTTGGGCTTTCCAAGGTCTACCCCTTTAAGCAGTTATTTCATTTATGGGAATCAGTTAAACTATTTCTTCCAATGATTGAGTAAAAGTAAAAATACATTTGGTACCAGTACCTCGAAACTACTAGAACCATTCTTTACCGGTCCAAAATTAAAAGCTCAATTAAAAAAAGTCACAAAAGTTCAAATTCTAACCGTTAGTCATTAAAATGTGCCCATGTCCACACCTAAAAATTCCAACATTTATATTTGAACGTTTTAATGTCATGCAAGGTTACATATAGTGTAGTATCTTTTAATATGCTATCATTGGATATAATTGGATCGATGTGATTTACATTTATGTCCAATCTATATCGGACTGCTTTGGACGTCATTTAACTATACACCACATATATACATGTAATTTTCGTTCGGGTTTATATGATCCGTTCATCCTATTTCGACTCTTCAAAATTTAAGAGTCTATCCTAAATTGAGGTAAATTATATGGCCTTCCAAATACCGTTTCGATTTCTAACATCACTGAAGAGACATTAATTGTCGAAATCCGGATATGGTGTACAAATTTTTGCACCTCATGTTTGCGGTACACCATCTTTTCCGCAAGTTTTTTGTTTTCTGTTTGGTATTAAATTAATAATAAAGATCCATTTTGTTACATCTTGTGATCCGTTTATTTGGCAATTGCCAATGACAGTCAGCAGTGTTTAAGAACATACGTTGTTCGACCTGTTTGTCAAATGCGTTTTGTTTAAATATACTTTTCACTTTGGTCGTTTGGAAAATGTTGTTTGTGCTGTATTTAGACTCCTCTACCAACAAATTTGTTTTGCATGCACACGTATACAAATTGCAGTTTTTTTCCAACGCAATCATAGGTTTGAACGTTATTTTCAATTTAGACTTATATACATGTATATATATATGTATATATGTTTTATTTTGTGGCCACACATGTATTATCTTTTCCTGTGTCATAGTAATTAGAGGCTGATACAATTTAAGACGTTAACAACATCAACGCTACAAGAAAAAAAAGAAAAATCTAAACAATGGTCAATAATTAATGTCCAAAAAAAAAAAATAAAGCATGAGCAGTTCGCACCCGTCAGTAACAAGTCACGAAGCTGTCGTATTCTACATAACAAATTAAAATTCGATTGGAAGAAATAAATAATAACACGACAACTCATCCAATGAAACAAAGACGCTAGCAGAAGTACAGTACCGTGCCAAAATATTAACTAACAAAATGATGTTTAAAGAGTAATTATAATGAAACGTTTTTACACATATATTAACGATGTTGTTTTTAAACTGTCTCTTATAATGTTCTTCGTTATATTTATTTCTAAATTTTCAGATAACAAAATTTGTTCATCTACAACTAATCAATGTGCAATGTATGAAAATGTGAAAAGCAACTTTACAAGTTCAGAAAATATACGACTATCGTTTTCAAAAAAGCACGATAGAAAAATCAATATTGATGACATAAGTTCCAATAACTTACCAGATGTAGAGGAACAAGAGAATGTGAATGTATATGGCAACATGATATTGGAAGATGATATATGTCAATACAAAATTCGTATTGAGGACCTAGCAGATGTAATAATTGAAAAACGTCACGACGAAGGATTTGAAAAAGAATATATGGTTTGTAAAACACATACTATCTGATTTTATTCACGACTAAGCATTGTTCAGAATATAAATATTTAATTTTTCAAAACACTGTTTATCTTCCAAATATATATATATAACATGGAATGTTTCACTCATTTTCCCTACCATCACTCTTGTTCCTGCCATCACTTATTTTCCTGCCATGACTTGTTTCCAGTAGCTCCGGCTTCTGTACTAGACTTCTACATTTTTAAGGAATTTTTTAATTATACTAGTTTTAATTACAGGGTTTTACTCATTTGGGATGGATGTAAAAGTACGCAGTCACGTTCAATTATTTTTCTTATCATTATCAAACTGCTATTTATTTGGGGTGTTTAAATACGCAGCCTCTGTTTTAATTACTCTACCGTTGTCAACTTTGAAATATTATACAAGCTTAGATCATGTAGATAGGTCAGTGCTGTTTATTGGGAATGTATTTCCACGCAGTTGTTGTAACATCTTAACTGTCGTCACCTTTGGAATTTTAAGTTGTGCTAGCTCATATCGCAAATTATTACTATTTTTATTTTAGGTATGTCGTTGCGCCGTGTATGGAAATTTTTGAATTGTACTAGCGTCTCTAGTATGTTCTGGTAAAACTGTTTTTTTTTGTGTATAGATTCAAGATTGCTATAGTTTTATAATCAGAACAGATTGATAAGATTCATTTTACATCGTGATCATACTGATGAAGGATATCTGTTATCCGAAATATTATAGTAACATTTGTTCATTTTATTGTTATTTTTTGGTGATGTTGTACCCTTTTAGACTGGTTATATATTATATTTTGTAGTGTACTGTATCATAATTATATGATCCATCGCCCCGTAAGATTTATCGTTGGCTATTATTCAGTCATTATATATATATATATAATATATAGAGAAAAAAAAAAAAAAAAAAAATAAGGCTGAAAATGCACCAAATATTTATATTCAATGTGAATATTCATATTGAATATAAATATTTGGTGCATTTTCAGCCTTATTTGTTTTTTTTCCCTATTTTATGCACAGCGTGGACAAAATTCTTTTTTTTTAAATGCATTATATTTCAATAAAAACAACATCTATTTTTATTTTTAATTTTTTTTCTACTGTGAATATTTGGCTAGAATTTTTGGTTGTTAATGCTCTTCAATTTTGTATTGGATTTGTTCGTGTGGCCGTTTTTATTCGAGCGTCATTAATGATTCTTATGTAGACGAAACGGACGTCTAACGTTCCAAATGTAAAGCCTGATATCTTGAAAATAAAAAATACTCCAAAGAAATCAATACTCTCTAAAACGGTATATGCTATGTAGTAAATGTTACATTTCATATATGAACATTATAAGACGTGGTTTGATTTCCAATGAGACAACTACCTGCCATACACCAAAATGTCTTATATTTTGTATTAGGACGGGAATTTAAAATTTAAAATGAGGCCATCGGATTTTCACACCTTAACGAACCTCCCTTTTTTTCCGGAGATCCAACAGAATTCGAAAGTTGTCAAGGTAGTCATATTCTAAAACGAACATTACAGATGACGACGGATATGTTCCAATTGTCGTAACTACAATATCGTCCCCTTTCCCCCGAATGTGACCTACCGAATTAGACATATCACCGGGTTTGTTACATGATCAACACGACAGGTGCCACATGTGGAGCAGGATCTGCCTACCCTTCCGGAACACCTGAGATCATCCCTAGTTTTTGACGGGGTTCGTGTTGCTCAGTCTTTAGTTTTCTATGTTGTTTGTCTTTTTCCTTTTTAGCCATGGCGTTGTCTGTTTATGTTCGACTTATGAGTTTGAATGTCCTTTTGGTATTATTCGTCTCTCTTTTACCATTCTTGTCGATTGTTATAGTTATGTTAAGCTTTATGTAGCTTTGTCATACGATTTTATTATGATATTGCGTAAGTACAGTGTTTAAGGTAAAGATCTATGATTGATTAGTTCGTCAAATTGATGAATTAAATATGTTTCAGATGTTCCCGAAAGGTCTTATTCATGCTCATATTGAGGGATCAAAAGAAGAGAATAAAGCTAAAAACAGATTTTTGACTACATGGCCATGTAAGTGACAAAATACTTAGAAATATATATATCTTGTATATGTAGAGTAAGAAATATGTTCCTATTTACAGTAATTGAACATTTGCGCGCGCGGAAATTATTTCAAACGTCAGTGAAAAAAAATGAAGATATATTGAGAACGTTTTAACATTGAACACACCAATATCAGGAACTAATTTGTTGATGAATTGTGTTGTTACCGTGAACAATAATTAAAACAGGACAAACACAAGATAAAACATGTATCTATGCTACAAAATAAATGAGTATCAAAACCACAGAAACCCATTTTTCTTTTACAGATGACCACTCCAGAGTAGTGTTGAAAGGAGACACAAAATATGATTATATAAATGCAAATTACATCGACGTAAGTTATTTTTAAATTTGTATGCATTTGTTTATCTATAAACATAATATTTAATTTTTAAAAACACAGAATTTTACAACTCATGTTATGTAGCATGAACTTGAATGTATCAGAATTACATTTTAACAGTCTAAAAACTGTGACAAAATGAATTGAAAAATAACAAAACTTAGGAGAAAATAAAATATACACATAAGTATATAAGCAACTGAAATTTTAAATCGGCTATGACAGCTTTAGAGTAAGTGTCAATGCTGGTATTAACCATCATTGTTTGTTTGGGTGAGCTATATGAGAGACAACTTATCGTATATGCTGAAAAAAATCTAAATTATCAACGATATATTTGGATCATATATATTGTGTCTGTCAATGCACATATACATGAGCATTTTGATGCTGATCATTTATTACGATATGTTTACCCTTATTAAATAATTGAGTAAGGTTGTAAAGTAAATTGTATAACTATGAAGCGTCATTTAATTAATGTAATATTATTAAATTGCAGAGCTATCATAAAGAAAAGGCATACATAGCTACACAAGGTTTGTGTATATAATCAAAGAATATATAAAGTCTTGTCGTATTTTGATTTTAGATTAAATATTCATGATAGATCATCATTATACAAAAAAATTACTAATCCGTATTGGTTTTATATGCCAACATCGTTTGCTATGTTGAGGAGATAAAAACATCATGTTTTGTCAATTTCATTCATGATTATATAACAAAGATTTTCAATACTTATCACGATAAAACAATGTGGGGTCAACAGTATCGTCTTCATAAAAAAAGTACAACAATAGAAATAACTAAGATGTAAATAGTTTGATAATCAACATATTTTTGCGCGCGTTGTTGTTTTGAAATCTCGCGCTTTATATAGCGTATGTTCAAGTAAACACATTCGAAAAGAAATCAATAAATTACATGCGATGTCGTACAAAGTAAACTCCATTCGTTTTTAGACATTGACGGGCACTTTCACATGTTTTGTTTTGTCGACTTCAGGTCCAAAAAGAAATACTCTTAGAGATTTCTGGCATATGGTTTGGCAGGAGAACGTCTGCAAAATAGTGATGGTCACCCAACTGGAGGAAAATAGAAAAGTATTTGATATTATTCAAATCGTGTTAGATATTGAATATATAACGTACATTCACAGGAATATAAAAGAATGTTTGCTTTACTCTTTGTTTAAAATCTCTTCCCTTATAATGTACAATCGAGTAAACATTTTTGAAAAAAAAACATTATTATCAACGCGTTATATTACCTTACAGTATTGTGCAAGCATGTTTTATAAAATTCAATGTAAGTACCGCATTCAAAAACAAACTACATGTGTAAGCATTGTAAACTACTCAATTACCATTGTTACAAACAGCGTCAACAATTTGAAAAGCAAGCAAAGCAAAGCCTGCCTAACAAGTGTAATGATTCATAAGTTTGAACATTTCTGTGATTTAGTATCGGTTATTAATAAAAATTAAAAGGAAGTCCAGAGTTTGTGAGACTAGCACATCCATCTCAACCTTAATATTTTGCATTTAGCACATTTTGTATTAGTTTGGTGACGTAACTATTGCGATACCAAAACCAACCTTTTAATGAAATGTTAAACAACAAGTCAATGTTAATTACAAACGCCCAAGGTTAACATGTTGTTTAGCCAAAGACATGAAATTATCTTCTTGATGTATAAGGTTTTGTTGGACTGGCGGCTGTCTAACCAAAATTTATATCCCTTTTTGGTCTTGTTTTATCTTTATCCAAAACAGACGAAATAATAATGCAATAATGTATAACTGTAACGTTGTAGAAAAAATGTGAACAGTATTGGCCAAAGACAACTAACAAACCGTTAATAGTAGACTGCTATACCTTGACCATGCAAGTAGAAAAAGAACACTCCGAGTATGTGTACAGGCTGATTAAAGTTGGACACAAAACGGTAATTAGCATCTTAATGTTGATTAATTTCCTTAAAAGACAATACTGATGATACAAACAACAGAGCTCATACGGACGGTTAATGAACCTCACGGTTGTTCATGATAATAATCCTAAACACACGTCAGTTTACTCTATAACTAACTTTTATTATAATCAGATGGAATATAATAATAGAGGATCTGAGAATCAGTATTTACAAATTGAACAGAGTAGCGTCTGAGCTTTATATTAAAACAAAAATACATGAAATGTATTTACTACTGTCTGTAAGAGCAATTTTGGTAATGAAGTCTGAAATGTTGTATAACAAAAAGACACCAATCAGCGCCCTCGTCATGTTTGTTTTTCTCGTAAAAATCTGTAAAGGTCTAGAGTTCATTGTCTCTCGAAATTCAGTATGAAAATTTTGAAAATGACGTATTGTTTTGAATAAAAAGCAAAAATAATAATGGTTTTATGTTATTTAGTTTTTAAAAATCATAGTATTCATTTTATTATATTAGGCAAAAGAAAAACGAAAGGTTCGCCATTATCATTTTACTCAATGGCCTGATCACGGTGTTCCAGACAGTATAAAGCTGGTGAATTTCTACAGGGCAGTCAACAACAATAACCGTGATCAGCATGGACCACTTTTGGTACACTGCAGGTATATTTGTTTCTTCAAGAATTACTGTATACATCTATCATACAAGTGTGAGGTTTAGCTAGCTATCAAACAAGGTTTCACCCACCATTTTCTTCGGGAAATGCCTTATCAAGATTGTTTCCCTTTCGTTAAAATGGTTGATATAGTAAGTTTTGTCAGGTTTTGTGAATTTCCTCTTTTTTATTTTAACTTGGAGTTCGGTATTTTTTGTTGAAACGTTTATTACAATTTTTAACAGTCTTGCAATTGTGCATGCATAACATTTGAGATCTTCTTTTCAATAGATAAAGGCGTCTTTGATCCTATACTATGTTTTGAAACGCAAATAATTATGTTATATCTAAATGTATTATAAGCAGAAAATTATGACACGGAGAAATAAAAATGAGAAGAATTCTTGACAATCGTTTATAGTAAAATATTGTTAGACAATAACATGTTATAAGATCAAGCAAGAAAGTGTAGCTGGATAATTAAACATATTGAACGGATATAGATGCCAAAAAAACACTCTAACAATATTGTAAAATGCATCAAATGATCTCAAAGTATATGTGATGTAATTGTATGTTTGAAATCTTGAGGTTATCTGCTGGTATTTTCGTTTAGTGTTGGCTCAAATGAACAGTAGCGGTAAACTTTTTTGCATTATTCAGTTTTCAGGGGCGATCTAAGTTTTTAGCGACAGCAGAGCATGTTTTAAAATCTTTAAAATTGAATCAAACTTATTATTAGTTTTAACATCTTTCTGAATTGTATGTACAGGTGGTATTTTATTTCAGTGCTGGCATTGGCAGAACGGGGACATTTATTGCTATAGATTCTTTATACGAACATGGAAAATCAGTTGGTTATGTCGATATCGTGGAATATGTGAAGATTATGCGGAGGGACAGACTGAATATGATTCAAACATTTGTAGGTATAATTAGGTTATAATTGTAGTTAAATCTTTGTAAAATAGATAGAATAAAAGATAACAATTAAAATGCAGTGAATCAAGCGGTGTAGAATTTCCCTTTCTCGTATTTATTTTTGTTATCTGATAGTTTTTAATTAGTTAATTACTTCGTGGAACGACTTCTACATAATGAAAATGACCTCTTATGTCTCCTTTTTAACATTTCAATCATTTCGTAAGTTACGGCATTTTTGTTCGCAACACTTTTAATGGGTCACTTTGAAAAAGAGTGATCCTATGAAAGTAAGAACAGTGGGCAATGGTCAGTGGTCGAAATTCTAAACAAAATAGTCAAATAATGATAAAAAAATTATACAGAGGATGCTTATTCTGGAAATGATAATTTTGTTATTTACGTGTACAATAGATCAGATGACGACCTACCCAACCCCATTTCTTTCGAACATGTCACCAAACGTTCATAGTTTCGGAAATCTTTCAATTACTGTTATATCTCGTTTCCTATAATTGAAAAAAATATCTTGAATAGAAACATTCATGCAACAATTATCCTTGTCCAGAAGTAACAGGTACGATCTGCTATCTCAACACCATCTATTTAATATTACCGCTATATTTGGAGAAATTGAAAATTTCTGAACTATGATTTACAACCCTGGCCTGTGTTATATATATGTATGATATACAAATAATACAGGTTCATTGGCATTCTAGTGTCGTTTTTTTTTCATTATTATCAACATCATTTCCACAACTTGTTGTTACAAGAGTTAATATTTAAATAATAGTTTATATTGATGAACCCTCAATTTTAAAACAGTTTTTGTGCAGAAGCAACGGTTTTGAAGAGGCATCATATCCGTAAATAATTTTGATTGTGAAAACAGTGTGCTTTGATCCTTTCTAATAAATACGTTTTCTGAAATGCATTATCTATAAGAAATATATACGGTAATTGATTTTATACTTCCCGAAATACTAATTTGTTGACAGTGACATGCTTATTTATGATGATCTATTTCAGATGTTTTATTCCTATCTTTTAAGTGTACTCTGTCTAAACTCATTACAAGTACGGTAAATGAATTTGATTTTTGGACGAAACATGCCGACTGCATATATCAATTCACTTAATATTCAAAATTTGTCAAACCCGTTTTCATTCAATAGATAACGACACCAATGAATGAACGGTTTAAACTTTTGTAATGATGTGCACTAATTTTGAATGATCGAAGTATTTCATAGATCGGGAAATTTCGAAAACTAGTACTAGTATTTTAATTGTTATATAATTAATTTCGTATTTCTTAATTCCTTTATGGATTCAAGTCAGAAGTCATATCATGTTAAATTAGATTGTTGATTTCCCCGATACATATACATGACAACATCCAATTTGAAAATTTAGTTTTACATGCACGATATGAAATGAACTTCGTTTCATTTCTAATATTTGTTAATCACTACATTACGATTGGAATAGTGTTTATCAAAGTTAATACATAAAACGTAGAGCTCAATACTTGTAGGAACAATATGAGGCTGTGTTTGAAGCATTGCAAGAATTGTTCACCGTGCCAGACACATCTATTCCAGTGAAAGATTTCTGTAGATATGTTGACGAACAGGACAATGCGACAATTCCACAAAACCAAAAGGTGTACAGATTAGAGTTTCAGGTAAGTAATCTTATATTAACGGAAGAACGGATGATGTACAGTTTTTTTTATGTAATACATAATGATCCATGATTTCAAATTATATTTGAGTTGCAAGGTAAGGTTTATATGTTACATTTCTGTTTCTGAATTCCTTTTTTGTTGTTGTGACTTAGTGAAATCTTTTTCCAAAGGTCAAATATAGTAGAAACAAAACATTGAATCAACTAATTCATTTTCATCTTCTCAAAAGGGGATGCAATGTGATACTCACGACGGATAAGTCTACAAGTAGCCATCAAAATCTACGGACAAGAAAATCAATATCTGTTTTTCATGTTGAGAAAAAAAAACCAGAACAATCTTTAGTGTTCTGAAAGTGGAAATATAATTGCGTGATATAAGTTAAAAGAATAAATTATTGTGTTAAATTAAATGTGGGTATACGAATTCATTAACAGACATAAAACATCAAGATATATAACACATTATAACCACTGATGATTGTTCCGTACTTGTTGTGGGATTAACAAGTCTACTCAAAAATCTTAATTTTGAATTTATCGTTAAACACGCTTCATACACATGTTGTACAAATCAACACAATATCCGATTCATGACATATTTTTATACAAAATGATTAAGGTATACAACCCCCTTGACCATATGTGGGAATATAACGATTACGTGTCCTCACTTGCGATGAAGATTTGTAGAAAAGAGTAAGTAGTCATGATGAGGTCTGGCTAAAGTCTTAAACTTTGGTACGTTATTATTTAGGTTTTGTACGTAACAGTCAGTTGCAAGATATTCTTAACAAATAAATAGTTATATCAGATTACTGCTGTTCTGTAAAATATACATATTTGAATTTAAGAACTATTTTGTTTGCGTATTTATGTTTCACAAATATATATGTTATCTGTTCATATAAAACACATGCTCATCGCCGCGATGTAGCCTTTTTGCGCATATTCGGCGTAATAATCATTAATCAATGGAGCAACCAACAATGCATCATACTAGTACTTTTTTAATAGAGGTTACAAAGTCATCGTCCATCACATTTTGCTGACAAATATACATCTGCAAGACTAAAGGAGAATATTTCGAAGAATACAGTGAATGATATTTTACCAAGTGAGTGTATAGTATATTCACTAATTCATTATGCATAATGTATACGCGTATAATTGCAATTTTCTTATATGAAAAAAGCCACAATGTTTCAATGGAGGGAGTCAATTGCGTTTTCCAAAAAAAAAAGCAATTTACACAAGGAGCTTTAAAAACGCGCTAAGAAAGGTAGTTTATCATAATATGGTTTTAAAGTAAGTTAATAAAAGTAGGCATACAAATAATTGTTTCTACTAGCCTGCGGCTTAATATATTTTGCAATCAATTTCCAAGCAACATTGAAAGTAAACGGGAGTGTATGTTATACCTATTAACCTATAAGTTAAAAAGTTCAAACAACAAGGTAAATTGTGGTAAGAAAAAGTAAAAAAGTAAAATTCTGATGTGGACGGTTGGAGTGGTTGTACATGCTATATGAAAATATATAGAAAATATATAAAAAAAAAAATCATATGTTGCGGTTGCAGAAGTTGTTTCGATCCATTCACTACTATAGCTGTTGTTAAACGAAGGATAACATAAAAGACGCGACCAAAACCTTAATGACCTACCTTACCGATGCCTTATACATTTACGACTGGCAGTAAGATATTGACAAAAAAGTATGCAATTGTCCCTCTGTTGTGAAACTTTAATTGTTTCATTGGTTCACCTCAGGAATTGAATGGCAGTAGGTCACTCGGTAGAAGGAATGAGCTGTTTAAATCTATTTGACAAGAACAAAATTATTTCTTCAATAATTCCTGATGTTATGTATATGTTTGGGTAAATATATACATATAAAACATATAAAACATATAAACAGTAATATTAAATAAAATATGCCATAACAGATTTTAGATGTCATTGTGTGTGTTTCAAGGAAATCATCTGATTGTTTTTGGTTTTTTGTTTGCCCATTTTATTGTTTATATGAAATAGATATTAATAAAATGTCAAAGATTTAGATAATAACATTTAAAGCCGCCATATCTAGAGTTAAATCATAAAATGTAGCATCACGAATATAAATCGAACTATGTAATCTTACGGCGCTATGAATCAACAAAAAAATATTGCAATAAGTTTAACATGTTTAATTAACGTCTTAGACTATTCATTTGAAATTTTTTGACATATTCCTCTTTTTGTTTCATTTCGTTTTCTTTTGCATTGTAGATGACGAATACAGGCCATATCTTATGTCCTTTGGAAAAAACAAACACGATTACATAAATGCAATTATGATTCCGGTAAGTTTTTAAATATTGTAAAATGTGTGTTTGGTCAAATTATGTTTAATGCAAGAGCAATGTGGTTGATTATTATTTTGAAGATTGAGCAGTCTGTAGAAGATTACTTTCTATCTATTCTCATTGTAAATTATACCATATTCCCGTAGCCTTTTTTTTTCTCAAAAAGATTAACATGTATTTATCAACGTTACAATTCATATTGCATAAACTTTTTAAGTTAAACATGTAAAACTTTTTGCTTTACAAATACGTGTTTGTTCGTCTTCTTTTAATACGTGTGAAATAGTATACATATATAATGAAACTGTTTTAGTATATAATAGAAAAACAAAGGATATGGGGTTTCCATTCATGACACAAAATCAGTACATGCATAGCAAAAAACACTCAAAAAGCAAAGGAACAGCGCTTTTGTTGCTGTTCTTCATCTAAAAGTCACAGTGAGCCCTTCAACACGGAGCAAAATAAAATCTCTCACCTCACTGCAAGTTTGAGACAAACCCGAGCACCAGTTTGAGCGAAACTATTAGCAAAATTTGTATAGACTTTGTAAGATGTATCACCACCAAATCGGGCCCGGTCAAAAAAGAACATACTGGAAAGAGGTACATATTTGATAGTTTCTACGCATAGGTATAAATATAAAACTATGTAGAATATATTTTAGTTATTAAGGTATCAAATGAAAGCTGAAGGACTGGTGATCCTTGTAGAACACAGATTAACTGATAATTTTGAATAATACAAAAATATATGAATTAATTCTAAAATTTAGGGCATATAGTGCCTGCTTCACAGATACGAAGTACCTGGATTGGTGTATGCAAAGTTCGGGTAACCAGTACGGTCTGGTGTATCAATAACGGTACATTGATCCCCTCTAAAATGTTTGAAATTGAAAAAATTAACGTGGATAGGAATTAGGACCAATAATAGGTAGTGTGTGTCTTATTAAAAACTTTTAGTACACAAACTGGCTTAAAATTGAGAAAATGATGTGGCACACATAAGAGAAGTTATCTCAAGAATAAATACACCATAACTTTAAAAATACAGAAGATCGTGCATATAAATCACGGGGAAATTTTCTACGGCCTCCACACAGCACAAGAGACAAATTCCGTTAATATAATAGAAAAACAAAGGATATTGGGTATTCATCCATGACACTAAATCAGTACACGCACATCACAAAACACACAAAAAGCAAAGGAACAGTGAGGGTATTGCTGTTCTTCATCTCAAATTCACAGTGAGGCCTTCAATATGGAGAGATAAAAAAAGATAAAATGAACGCTTTTAATTTTTAGTATATTATTTGACACTGCATCAATTACGACAGCATCATTTTCAAGTATTAAAACATATATTAGTAACTTAAAGCAAATCAATCTTATGATTTCAGGGATACTCGTCACACGGAAGCTTTTTGGTAACCCAATGTCCTTTGAAGGAAACTGTGGTTGATTTCTGGACAATGGTGTATGATCATGACTCCAGTGTTGTTGTTTTACTGGATAAACTTTATGAAGTGAGGCAAATATAAACTATTTTAGTTGTATTGACATCACACTCATGATTAAGTGCAAAAAATAAACTCTTGATGGCATGAAAACTAAATATATGCTTAACAGTTAATCTGGTTATATTTGCATTTTTGATGTAATCAGCAGTAGTAATTGAAAGTTATAAACATTTTAATTGGCCTAAAATCTATTTACGATAAGATTGACATTTTCTGAATTTTCAAAATAAATTTACATGATCGAAGGATAAATGTATCAAACATGAAATGAAATTAAGTCGCTAATTCATGCTGTTAAGTACATGCCTTGACTGACACACAAAGAATTTCAGCATTATAAATGAAACATGAAAAAATGCGTCCACATATTTCTCGTCACGTAAAACAACTGTAGCGTATATTCGATTGAAAATTCCTGACCAAAAATGTCGGAACAGAAAGCATATCAACATGGTTATTTATGTCTATGTGACGTAAGAATATCAGTGGGATTATGCTAAGGCTGAAATCAGCCTAATGTTGTTTATTTTTCGTTTCGTGGAGTTGGTGTTAACAACAGATCTTTGATACATTTTTGTTTAAACGCATTTTTAACCTTTTCGATATATCAAAAAAAAAAAAAAAAAAAGACGTATTTTATAACTATTTATCTATCAAAGAAGACTATGTTGACCTCTATATGTCTTTTATTTGTGTCTCATGTGGTCATGCATTAATTACGTATAGCTTATTCTCCCTTTTAGTTTATGAATAGAATTAAGTTTGTTAAAAGATATAAAATACAAACCTGACAGGTTATGACTTTTTAACATCGTTCAACAAATGCTTTGTCGATGATTTTTTCGAATGATGTTTGAACATTCGGGTTATTTTGTAACGTTATTCAGAACAATCGATACTTATCAAAAAAAATACTGTATGCACATGATCTCAGAAAAAATTGTGTCTTCATTGTATGGTTAGAATCAAATGAACCGTTATTATACTAATTGCTCCATTGACAGAGAATGGGTTTTTTCTCGCTGCGACGAAAGTCGCGGAAAGCGAGACATAGGGATTGCTTTTCCGGCGACGGCTGATGACGGCTTCAACAGTTGTTAAGTTTTCTGCTTAAGTTAGTTTGATAGGAACTACTTGTGATAGATCATTGATATTTTGTATGAAGATGCATTACTATCAGTATATATCAGTTTGACGACAATTTTTAGGCCCCGTCCCCTAGGCCATGGTCCATTCACTTTGATTTTATTAGCCATTTTCAATGTTAAGTTTTCTGCTTAAGTTAGTTTGATAGGAAGTACTTGTGATAGATCAATGATATTTTGTATGAAGTTGCATAACTATCATTACATATCAGTTTGGTGACTATTTTGAGGCCCTGCCCCCTAGGCCATGGTTCAGTGACTTTGAATTAATTAGCCATTTTAAATGTTAAGTTTTCTGCTTAAGTTAGATTGATAGGAACTACTAGTGATAGATCAATGATATTTTGTGTGAAGTTGCATTGCTATCAGTACATATCAGTTTGACGACTATTTTGAGGTCATGCCCCCTAGGCCATGGTTCAGTG